TTTAGTCTTTGTGGAGGAGACTACATCGTGAGCATGAATTACAGGTTATTAAATTAAAAGAAGTGCAAAGTAAATAATCTTTTCACCTGGAAGGAGCTTGGGGCTTGGACAATTAAAGACTCAAATTAAACCTGCTGCCAATAGTGAATGTTAATATTCAATAGTGTAAGTATGCTTTTAATGACATGTTAATTGAATGTCCCAGAAAACAACTTAATCTCTTTCTGGATGTATAAATTATCCTTTCAGATTTAAACAGTTTTAACTTTAAAATGTTTTTATTTCTTACTTTTCCTTTAATTATTTTCTTTCTCTCTTAATTCAATCTTTTATTCCCCTTTCATTTATCTTCCCACATGGACTGGCAGATGGAGTTTAATTTAGATAAATGTGAGATGCTGCATGTTGGAAAGGCAAATCAAGGCAGGACTTATACACTTAATGGTAAGGTCCTAGGGAGTGGTGCTGAACAAACAGGCCCAGGAGTGCATGTTCATAGTTCCTTGAAAGCAGAGTCCCAGGCAGACAGGACAGTGAAAAAGGTATTTGGTATGCTTTCCTTTATTGATCAGAGCATTAAGTATAGGAGTTGGGAGGTCATATTGTGGCTGTACAGGACAGTGGTTAGGCCACTTTTGGAGTACTACGTTCAATTCTGGTCTCCGTACTATAGGAAAGATGTTAACCTTGAAACGGTTAAGAAAAGATTTACAAGGATGTTGTTGGGTTTGGAGGGTTTGAGCTATAGGCTGGGGCCGTTTTCCCTGGAGCGTCAGAAGCTGAAAGGTGACCTCATAGAGGTTTATAAAATCATAAGGGGTATGAATTGGGTAAATAGACAAGGTCTTTTCCCTGGGGTGAAGGAGTCCAAAACTAGAGGGCATAGGTTTAAGTTCAGAGGGGAAGGATATAAAACATACTTAAGGGACAACTTTTTCATGCAGAGGGTGGTGCATGTATGGAATGAGCTGCCAGAGGAAGTAGTGAAGGCTGGTACAATTACAACATTTAAAAGGCATCTGGATGGGTATATGAATAAGACGGGTTTAGAGAGATACAGGCTAAATGCTGGCAAATGGGACTAGATTAATTTAGGATATCTGGTCAGCGCTGAGTTGGAGCAAATGGTCTGTTTCCATGCTGTCCAGCTCTATGACTCTATGACCTGATTTTATTTTGAATTAACTCCCTCAAATCCACTGTTTTTGTCAATTCCTCTGTTCATTTCACAGTCCTTTAATCCCAATGCTTAAGAAGAAACACTGTTGGTCCCATTATTTACCAAAATCACCAAGATGCCCTGTAGTCATCACCAATCTTTTGGTGGCTCGTACTTCCATTAGCTTCAAAGGCAATTATTTATAAAACATAAACCTTTAGCTAAAAGGGCATGTTGTAATATCCCCCATTCCAGCAAAATCTGCCCCAATATATATTGCTCCTACAAAAGTACAGACTTTTTCAGGTTTCTCATAGATGGGGGGAGTGGCACTTGTAATGCAGTGTTGTGAAATTATTTAGCGGACACTTTGGATCCAAGTCTGTGATCCATGGACAAAATACAGTAATTTACTGTTATCACATTTATTCACACTTTTTTTGCCAGTCATCAGCGCATTAAACAGCTGAGGGACTCAAAGGATTAAGCACAATAAGATGTTTCAAATCTGTCTGTCAGTAGTCTGATGAAAAGTCATTGTTTCTTAGGGATTGAATGGAAATCCTATTAAGTTACGAAATAAAACAAAGAACTGGAGATGCTGGAAATCTGAAACAAAAACAGCAACTGCTGGAGAAACTCAGCAGCTCTGACAGCATCTGTGAAGAGAAAACAGAGTTAATATTTTGAGTCAAAGAACAAAGAACATTACAGCACAGCCCTTCGGCCCTCCAAGCCTGCACTGACATGCTGCCCGTCACAACTAAAACCCCCCTACCCTTCCGAGTGTCACTACCCCACTCTATTCCCATCCTGTTCATGTATTTGTCAAGACGCCCTTTAAAAGTCACTATGGTATCTGCTTCCACTACCTCCCCCGGCAGCGAGTTCCAGGCACCCACCAACCTCTGTGTAAAAAACTTGCTTCATACACCATCTTTAAATCTTGCCCCTCGCAACTTAAACCTATGCCCCCTGGTAACTGACTCTTCCACCCTGGGAAAAAGCTTCTCACTGTCCACTCTGTCCATGCCCTTCATAATCTTGTAGACCTCTATCAGGTTGCATTTCAACCTCCATCATTACAGTGAGAACAACCCAAGTTTCTCCAACCTCTCCTCATAGCTAATGGCCTCCATACCAAGCAACATCCTGGTAAATCTTTTCTGTACCCTCTCCAAAGCCACCACATCCTTCTGGAAATACGGCCTAACTAAGGTTGTATAAAGCTGCAACATTACCTGCCAATTTTTAAACTCAATGCCCCGGCTGATGAAGGCAAGTATGCCATATGACTTGTTAATGACCTTCTCCACTTGTGTTGCCACTTTCAGTGACCTGTGTACCTGTACACCTAGATCCCTCTGTCTATCAGTACTCTTAAGGGTTCTGCCACTCACTGTATATTTTCCATCTGGATTAGGCCTTCCAAAATGCATTACCACACATTTTTCTGGATTAAACTCCATCTACCATCTTTCTGCCCAAGTCACCAACCGATCTATATCCTGTTGTATCCTTTGACAGTCCTCACTGCTATCCGCAATTCCACCAACCTTTGTGTCATCGGCAAACTTACTAATCAGACCAGTTACATTCTCCTCCAAATCATTTTTTTATATTACTAACAGCAAAGGTCCCAACGCTGATCCCTGAGGAACGCCGCTTGTCACAGCCCTCCATTCAGAAATTCACCCTTCCACTGCTATCTTCTATGACTGAGCCAGTTTTTTATCCACCCTATAAGCTCACTTGCGACTTTACCAGAGACTAGTGACCCTTCTTCAGAACGAAATGAATGAATCCTATTAATCCACGCATATGAAAATTTTAACAAGCCAGCTCATATCTACCCAATCACAGATTCTACCCTAGCCATTGAATCTCCTCAGGGAAATTTCTTCACAAGCACTTCCAGATCCTTATTGATAATGAAACAAATTACAGGTACAGGTAATCCCTGGGTTGTGAACATGTTCTGCTATTGAGTTTGTTCGCAAGTTGATTTGTAATCAAGTTGGAACACAGTACAGAACAATCTAAAGAAGCCATTCAGAAGTACAGGAATTGTTTGCATGTCAGATCTCTAAAATTATACCTCTCTATGGGTCGCCCTTTGTAAATGTTCATAAGTCAGGCGTTCAGAAATCGGGACACCCCCGAGTCTGTTCACCAATTCTCAAAAACCAAATTCCCTGTTGGAATTCTGCACCCCAGTAAGTTATGCCTGCATCATTCAGCTAAAAAAAAATCCATGTTAGCTTTTGCATCAGTCAACGAACAATTTGTGATGATTTATGATTTGCGTGTTAGCTCTTTTTCATCACAAGTTGTCAATTTGTACATTAATAACGGCATTCAGAAGCTGTTATTTTCTCAGCCAAATCAGCCAATCATATTTAACAACATCCCGGCATGCTGACTCTCATGTTCTATGCCACCTCTTAATCAATCTCCTTATCTCCCTTTACTGGAATCTATTTTTTCCAATCCTCAGGTCTGTTGCTTTCTTTGGCCATTTTGTATGCCTCTTCCTTGGATTCAAAACTATCCTTAACTGTCTGACAATGTTACCCATTTTCTCTTTATATCAGACAAAAATGAACAACTTTTGCAGTTTGTCAATGTGCTTTTTAAATGTTTGCCATTGTCTACCTACCATCACCTCTTTAAATAATGATCCCCAATATATCATAGTCAGCTCATACCTCATACCATCATAATTTCCTTCATTTAAATTCAGGACCCTAATCTCAGACACAACCGTGTCACTTTCATCTTAATGAAAAATTCTGTCTTATTGTGGTCACTCTTCCCAAAGGGCCCATGCAGAACTCGATTGTAAATTATTCCTTCCTTGTTACACAATACCCAGTGGCCTTTTCTCTATTTTGTTCTTTAACCTATTGATCCATAAAAATATCCTGGATTCACTCCAAGAATTCCTCCTCTACAGTATTGGTGCTGACTTGATTTGCCCAATCTATACGCAGATTGACGTTGCCCATAATTACAGCCATACCTCTATTACTTGCATCTCTAATTTCCTTTGCCATGCCTTGCCCAATGTTGTTACTACAGGTTGGGGATCTATGTACAACCTCTAACATTGTTTTCTGCCTCTTGCTGTTTCTAACCTCAATTTACACAGACTCTGAGGTTACCATGAAGGACTCTACTTCTCAACCTCTCCCCTCACCTGAGGTATGGTGACAGTCAAATTAAACCACCACCAATAGTCTCTGTCTAATGAGAGAATAACTCTTATGGTCCAGTAGGAATATGGTAACATTACTTACTTTACTAATTTACTAATGGAATTTGGATTACATGTTGAAACATAGATTGTTTATACATTTACAGAATACTCGTTCTCATTTCTCAAATTCGATACATTTGCAGAGTTCTTTGTAGGGTGTAGCAACTCAGAATACATGTGCTGGGGTCAGATAGCCGCTGGTGCGTGGAATGTAAAGATCACGGTTGTAAAGCATGAAGGCAGTCAACTCTTGCGTGGAGTTGTAAACATTCTGTTCTTTGTTAACTGATACACGTGGAGTTATTCAAAAACATCTACATGACAATAACAGTATACATTCAATTCTACCCAACCTGTTCATTGGCATATCACTCAATCTTTTCCATCCAAAAGTGTCTCTTCAACCTATTTAGATTGTCCACCTCAGTGTTGTCTCTTGTTTGCTGAACAAGTCCAATGCTCAGTCAATGTTAAATTTCTGCTTGACTTCCCATCTTTGGATTATTTTTTTCTCAATCTCACTGAAGAATTCACTGTTATTAATGCCCTCATTTTCCATTTGTTTTTCTATTTCTTCTGTAGGTCATTCCTTTCCAGTTTGGATGTTTAGCTGAAGTTATGGAATTTGCATACAGTCACATTGTGTACAATTCACAAAACATACCTTCCCCAAATTCCAGAAATAGAGACCATGGTAAGTGCCAATTACTTCAATCTCAAAAAATGTCAATCCATTCTTTTTTTTAAACATCTCCTTGATTATTGAAGTATGTTGCAATCTGTTCCCCTAATGGCTTGTTGGCTAAATTTCTCTTCCGTAGTAATGAACAACACAGACACAGGAAGACCATAGGTTTGATTCCCAGTGAGGAGAACGTAGCTCATGTGCTGGTGAAGTGCTACAATTGTCTTTAGTGTCTATGGGTTAGTGAGGAAATTGAAGGGCTCCCAGTGCTCTGCCATTTTACCTGTCAGTTCATTATCAATAACTGCTCCTACTTACTCTATTCATTATTAATGACTTACTGCCCTCGTCAGCAGATTTGTGGACTGTCTTTATTTTCATGCATAAAATTTAAAAAAAATCACAAACTTAAACACTGACTGTAAAATTAGTTGATATTAGTAATACAACATTACCTATTTAGAAACTAGATTATAATCTTCAATCACACTGATCTGCATTTTAATATAATCTGCACTTTAATACAATTTATATTTAAAGTCCCAAATCCCAGCTTGTGTGAATTATCAGGTCCATTTATATATGCATGGGGTAGTGATCAGAAAATGGTGGTGCCTTCATTGGAAAACAATTGAAAAGCTAGCCACCTGCGAAATTAGTGAAAGCGCAGCAGATTATAAGGTTACAAATTTTTCCTCCCATCTGTAGGAGAGACTGAAAGTATCACCAACCAACACATGACATTATCGGTGTGTAGGCTCACTTGTGAAAGCTTTCATTTGTGGCTACAAGATACAGAAAACAGTGTCGGTATCATTATTTGGCAATAAGATATAGGATGAGCTTAGGTCTGCGGAGGTAGTGTCTCGTGGATTCTTATCTGCCCCGGACCTTAAGAGGGCAAGGGAAATTACAAAGAAATTTTTCGGAGGGTAAATCTGATTTCTTCAGTGAGTTGAGAAGCACTAATCCTGTTGAAAGGAGCAGTTTTTACTTTTTTCCTCTTTGCTGATAACATCTAGAAGCCTGAGTACAGCATTTCGAAACTGTAACTACTATTAAAATCTATTGGATCACAGTTTGGAATGATTGGAGCCGATTAATCAGTATAATCAGCTGATGGACTGATAGCTTTTCAGTTAGCCACTTGTCAACTGTTGTTTCTCCTTCTGATCATAGAAGGGCAGTAGGTGAGATCATATTGGGGATTATTTCAAAGCTGACATTTTCCTGCTTTGTCCTTTGTCCATAATTAGACCAATAACCTGAACAACACCCACCTGAGACTTTGGTGCTCATTATTGAGATATGCAAAGCCTTTTTAAAATTGCTTGATGGAAACTTGTCTTCTCAGTATTTCTGAGACCCTGATGTAATCACTTTGAAATCACCCTTCCAATGTGTGAGTCTCACCTGTGGGATATTCACTTTACTGGATTGTGATTGGAATAACATACCTTCACTATGCTGGTTACTCCACTCTGGCCATCACTCACTTCATTGTTAAGTTAAGCTGCCAACACTAACCTTTAACGGTCATACACCATGATTAAGACTGTGCCATCTGTGCAGCCACAAAACCAGCAACAGTCAGTGCCTGCAGGCAAAATGTTGAGAAAATCATATGAAAAGGGGAAAGATTAACTGGGAAATTAAGGGACCCTTTTGACAAGTGAAACATTCCAGCTGCCACCACTCTGCCAATAATGAACGGGCTGTACTATTTCAGTTTAATATTTTCAGATAAAAATATACTCCTTTCTAAAGAACTTATTAAACTTTCTGAGGTTACATTAGCAGGTGGTAACATACTGGCTTCCTGTTTCACCCCCATTCTGAACCTTTCAGTGCAAGATGTGCAATATTATTCAGTCAGAAACTAGAAACCAATGATATGAGGTGAGGTTTCTCTGTCGGTGACTCTAGGCCTCAATACGTGTTGGCTTGTTTCCGCTACACTAAGCACTTTGCAACGTGGCAGTGTATTGATGAAATTAGCAACACACGAACACTGTCATATTTCCATTGCTAAGCTTTCCTGAGGTAACTACATCAGAGCCGAGTTGTGAATACTTGGATTTCAGCAGAAGCAATGTAGGCTTTGGTTGCCAGGTATAGAAACTTCAGACAATGGACCATAGAAACTAATTGTTTGGAAAGATTCTTGCAGATGCTGTTCTGCCCTGGGCTTTCTGATATCTCATTCTTTCATCATTAAACAAGAAAGTTGTATTATCCACTCTCTTAGTCATCATAACCAGATGTTACCTGTTATGTTCAGCTCTACACCCATTACGACTTGTCTACTCATGTGTTCCACCACCTCAGCCTTGCCCTTAAAAATAACCTTCTTTCAATTTATACCCATTCTATCTCACTATAAAGGCAGCAAGCAAATTACCATTCTTTGAGAACATTGTTTTAAAATCAAAGCTAGAGGAGTGCACTGTTATACTCATGGTTATTACTGAAGGTAAAGGATGTTCCAGTGTTTGCTTTTTTGGTGTTCTATCATGCGTGGTCAAGTCATTAATCACGCGTAGTTGCATCTAAAGTTTTCTAGACATAGCTTACTCAGGACTTACAATTTTGAGATAATTGTTCAATCACTTTCTAAAGAACAAATAGGTTTCACCATGAACTCAACAGAGGGTTTTCTTTTCAGAAACGATAGTGATCAGCTGGGCAGCTTGTTCTTAATTGGCTTTTCTGTAAGTCAGCAGTTTCTTATTCAACTCAACCAATAAAGAACAAACACCTCTTCAACCCTGTCACTGTTCAAAACATACACAGCAGGAGCCTATGGCAAAACGAGCAGCTATCATCCGTCATGTAATTTCTGGGAAGCCTTCTTTAAAAAGTTTTCTACTGACCACAGTGTACATTCAATCACTGCATTTAAAGAAACAACTCCAGGTATTTTTACAAAACTTGAAATAAATCAATTTTTCTGCAATCCTCTAAAACTTAAGTCCTCCAAATAGTATGGCTAGTAGGCCATTAAGTTCAAGAGGCAAGTCAGAGGGATAACAAATGCTGGCCTTGTCAGCAATGCCAACTATCAAAGACAGAAAATAAGCATTTTTGTTACAGTTGTAACTTTTGTTGTCTTAGAATCCACTGGCTGCTTCATTCCATGACTAGTATTAATCATTCTAATGGTCACCTCACCCATTACTGTAATTATTAGCAACCCTGTCCTTCCAGCTGACACAATACACCTCATTGTGTTGAAGGCATAAAGATGTTGGCAAGATTATGGTGCCTGACCAATTATCAGCACCTTCTACCATCCAGTTTTGATTAAAATAGATGTTGTGGTCTGTTGTGTCTCCTATCATATGGGGTGGACAGCGTACAGGTCTGGTTTGATTTTGAACAACATAATAAAAGCTTTCACTTTCAAGTATTATGCAAACTCAGCCTTAATAATGAACTCTGAAATCTCACCAACAATTGAGGTCAGGCTAACCAGCCTACAGTTTCCTGTCTTCTGTCACCCTCCCTTCTTCAACATGGGTGTTATAGTCCTCTGGGACCCTCCCTGACTCCAGTGATTCCTGAAAGATCACAACCAATGCCTCCATAATCTTCTTAGCTATCTCCTTCAGAGCTCTGGTGTATAGTCCATCTGGTCAGAGTGATTTATCCCTAGCACCTTCTCCTTAATGATGGCCACTACACTCACCTCTTCCCCCTGACTCTTTTGAAGTTCTGATATGGAACTGGTGTCTTCCACCATGAAGACTGATGCAAAGTACTTATTCAGTTCTTCCACCATTTCTTTGTTCCCTTTTACTACTTCTCCAGCCTCATTTTCCGGTGGTCCAATATCCTTGTCTGTCTCTTACCTTTTATGTCTCTAAAACAACTCTTGCATTCTTCTTTCATATTACTAGCCAGTTTACCCTCATATTTTATCTTCTTCCTATCCCACGCACCCCCCAAACACTTTTCTAATTGACCTCTGCTGGTTTTTAAAAGGTTTCCCAATCCTCTAGCTTCCCGCTAATCTTCTCCACATTGTATGCTTTTTCTTTTGTTTTTATGTTGTCCCTGATTTCCCTTGTCAGGCATGGTAGCCTCATCCTCCCCATGGCATGTTTCTTCTTCCTTGGGATGAATTTCTGCTGTGCTTCCTGAATTACCCTCAAAAATTCCTGCCATTGCTGCTCTACTGTCTTCCCTGCCTAGGCTCTCCTTCCAATCAACTCCGGCCAGCTCCTCCCTCATGTCTTTGTAGTTGCCTTTATTGAATTGTAATATCATTACATCTGATTCCAGCTTCTCCCTTTCAAACTGCAGGGTGAATTCTATCCTATTATGGTCACTGCCCCCTAAGAGTTCCTTCATCTTAAGCTCCCTAATCAAGTCTACCTCATTACACATCATCAAATCCAGATTGCCTGTTCCCTAGTGGGCTCTACCAAAAGCTGCTACAAAAAATCATCTCATAGACTTTCCATAAATTCCTTTTCTTTGCATCTGCTACCAACCTAATTTTCCCAGTCTACCTGCATATTGAAGTCTGCCATGACTGTTGTAATAGTACCTTTCTTACATGCCTTTACTATGTCCTGACTTATTTTCTTCTCCATGTCCTGACTACTGCCAGAAGGGCTGTACGTAACTCCCATCAGGATCTTTTTCACTTTGTGCTTCCTCAACACTACCCGCACAGATTCTACACATTCCAACCCTATATCTCTATATGCTATTGATTTAATATCATCTTTTACTAACAAGGCATACCTGCCCCCTCTGCCTCTCTCCCATGCTTTTGATAGCACGTGTATCTTTGGATATTTTGTTTCCAGCCCTGATCACCTTGCAGCCATGTCTCTTTGATGCCCACAACATCCAAAATCAATCTGTGCTATAAGCTCTTTTACCTTGTTTCATATACTGCATGCATTTAAGTGTAACCCCCTCAGTCCCGCTTTGACCACCCCCTTCTCATTGTTGTCCCCTTATCTGCTGTGCCTGAAGTTGGATTCCTGACCCTTTCCATACTCCCTGTCCTATTATTTCTTCTGGGAATTTTAATAACCTCTCCAGAGTCCTCCTCACCTTTAACTAGCTTGAAGTCCTTGTGACCACCCTTTTTAGCCTTCCCTCTAGGATTCTGGTCCCAGATTGGTTCAGGTGGAGGCTCTCCCAATAGTAAAATTCCCTCCTGTCCCAATACTGATGCCAGTGCCCAACAAAATGGAACCCTTATTTCCCACACCCTTCCTTTCAATATGTACTTGCTTCCCTAAACTTCTTATTTTTACCAATTTTCAGATAATAATCCAGAGATTACAACCTTTACGGTCCTGTTTTTAATTGTGTTTCTAATTCCTGATATGGCCCAAAGAGGGCCTTTTGCCTATGTTGTTGGTGCCAACATGGAACCCAAAAACTGGATCCTCCCACTCCCTCTCCAGTATTCTTTCAAGCCGAATTGAGATGTCCTTTACCTTGGCACCAGGTGGCAACACACCTGTAGGGCTCTCAATCCTGCTCACAAAGCTTACCATCTGTTCCCCTTATTATAGAATCCCCTACAGTTATCAATTTTGTTTTTCCTCCCCCTATGTGAATGACTTCCTGGACCATGGTGCACTGGTCAGTTTGTCCATCCTCCCTACAGTCCTTTTCCTCATCCATACGGGGAGCAAGTATCTCTGACCAGTTGGGCAAACTTAAGAGCTGAGGCTCTCCCATTGCTATGTGCAGGATCCCTCTACCTGCCTAATTTGTTGTCACACACTCCTGTCCCTGACCACAGGCCAAATTTGAAATATTTAAGCTACATGGTGTGACTGCCTGAACACAGTGTTAAGGAAGGTCTCCCCTTCCCAGATGTGCCACAGTATCTGAAGCTCAGGTTCCAGCTCACCAACTCTCAGCCGAAGTTCCTCAAACTGCACATACTTACTGCTCATATTGTCGCTGTGGTTTGTAATGGGATCCACCAGCTCTCACATCAGCAAGAACAACACATCACCTGTACTGCTCTTTTCCAATATGGTTAATTAGCTTTTATTTATTGTCAAAAAATATTATTCTCAGATAGTCCCTAAATTATTATACTCCTTCTTGAATCTACTATTTTTTAAGGCTAGTCCCTAATGTAGGACTCTTACCAGCCAATCAGACCACACAATTGACCACAGGTGAGCGAGTTAAGGTGTGTGACCATTTATTCAACTGAACGCAGGAGATCAACACTCAGTCAAACTTAAGTAAGACTCTTGGAAATACAGAGAAATTCCATGTTCTTATACAATTTTGGTCACATACATCTTCATTATCTGAATTCCAATCTTGCTTCATGAAAACAGAAGAAATAAATATCTATTCTTGGTCACAGTTTAATGTTGTTCATGTCTTCTTCATCCAGTTAAGGATTACTTAATCTTATTGTGGCCCGGCTGTAATTTTGACCAATTCCTTATCGGTATCTGTCACCTCCCTGTCTGTAAAGCCCGTCTGACTCTAACACATTTCTGAAATGTTTTGTAAACACTAACTTCTTGTTTGTACAAGGTTCACCTACAGATTCCTGCTGACACTAACCTCAAGGGTGCACAAGAGTCATCTGGAACAAGGTTCATGTGGTGAAGTCTGCTTGTTATGTTTTACTGTGAATATAAAAATCCCTATTTAATCCGTAAGTAGAAGTAAAGTAACCATCAGCCCACTCATTAGGGACAACTGGTGCTGGTTTAACCTGAGGGTCACTATGTCTCAGATGTTGTGAGAGGTTGGAAACTTCAGGCAGTGTAGGAACTGAACCCGCATTGTTGGCATTCACTCTGTATCCACAAACCAGCTGTGCAGCTAACTAACTGAGCTAACCAACTACCTATATAACCCTTACAGTCTAACAAGTGTCTGCAGCTGATAGCATGCCAGCTGTGCTTAACCAAACACTGTTTGCTAAACTCAGAATATAGTGTACAACATCAGGTATAATTCTACTATTGGACAATATTGACTAAATAATGCTGACTGAATTAGGAATTACACAGGAAACCAAATTAAGATTATCAACCAGGCCTATGGTGTGATTTAATGGAATGTCATAGAAGCTACATTTATTCACACATGGGACCATGTTTTTTTGAAGGCAAAGGGAACATGACCATGCCTTGCATATTGTTTGCTGAGGAAAGTACTAAAAAGACAAGTCAATCCTGCTGCATCCCTTTGGGCAATGCCCTGATCAATCAATGGACTTGCCTGGTTTGACTTAACTGACAATTAATAGTTCCTGCTGCATATCTATGCTAACTGTAGCCCAACCAATCAGCACACTCTTTTCATGCTGTATACGTTGTTGTTTCTTTTCTAAAATTGTTTTCTTGTGTTTCAGTCCTGATGAGTGTAAGACAAAAAAGCTTCAACTTCATGTCTCTTTTTAGCAAACTTCAAAAAAAACCATCAGATTTATCAGGCATGAGCTATCATTTATAAATCTATATCTCTCGCTGAGTATTGAAAATTTTCCAGGTATTCAGTCACGCTGCCCTTTAATAAAGACTCTTTAAAACATTTCCAACAACAGACGTTAAATCTATAATTCCGTAGTTTTCCTTTGTCACCTTTCTTAAAGAGTGAAGTGACATATTCACTTTTCAAATCTAAAGTAGGCTTCCCGAATCAAGAGAATTTTGGAAAATAATAATTAGGGCATCGGTAATACTCTCAACTATTTTCATTGAAATGGGATCCTGCAGTCAACAGTCCTTGAAAACTTTAAGATTTATCATTCTCTAGTACCACCATTGTCTTCATTACTGGTGGTATTTAATGATGTTAATACTGTTGAATATTATAGAGAGGAGGTCAGACCCTCTGTTGTTGGATATGCCCGTTGCCTGGTACTAATCTGGTGTAATCCAATCTGAGCATAGGTTAAAGCAAGTAAGTGCCACTTCGTATCACTGTTGGCCACAGCTTGCATCATTTTGCATGTGTAGTCACTGGTCGTAGTGGATCAGTCCTCCATCTGTGGACAGGCCATACTTGGACAATTTTTCATAATGTCTGGAGATTCTATTAGACTATTTTCTTGTTCTAATTTGTCTTGTTATTTTAATCACTGTAATAAACATATATTCAGTTGTAGCAGTGCAGGGTCAAGCTTTATTGAGACATCATATTCCACCATTCTGACATTAGTTTTCCTATACAATAATTTTCTCACACTTAAACACCATTGCTTTCTTTGATTATTACGTTTCATTAGTATTATCAGTGAGGCAAAGATGCATATAGATGACAGTATAAGGATATACACAAAGGTAGATAGTATAACCAAAGAATTTTCAGTAAGCTAAGATGCCAGTATATAATTAAAGTACATTTTATCATTCTCAATCCCTTCCAATTATCCCATGAGCATGGTTACATTGTCTTACTTAGCTCAGTAATCTTTTTCAAAAGTCACAATGATCACGTAGGTATATTCCGCATCATCACAGACATTGCAGAGTGCTTTTATTGCATCAATCTCTATTTCTGGAGATGCTCAGTTCCGGCACCCTTTACACAACAGGCACATTATAGTCCCAGATTAAGTAGAAGGCTGCTTTAATCGATTTTGCACTGGTCTGAATTTAATGTGTCCTTACCTCACAGGCTGACCAGGCAATGAGGTCTTCAGAGAATGCCAGCTCTCAATCCCACAGATGCTAGTATTGTGGATCTCTGGAACAGCTTCATTTGAGGGATGGCTAGATCTGAAGCCCAAATTTTCCACGGTACAGCCAGGATCCTGTCAGTCTCTACTGGGTCCAGTGCACTTGGCTGCTTATTGACATCAAGTGGAGTCATTAAAATTGGCTGAAGTATAACAAATAAATACTGTTTGTAGGTGTTGACCAATGTTCTCTTTGTATTCAATTGCAGAACAAAGGCATGATAGACCAGCTTCTATTCCAGATCTTGTCGAAAATCAAACATATTCAAGCACAAGCTTCAGACCTCTACCAACACAGTCCAGTCACAGTCTTCATCAGTATGACAACCGATTCCTGAAATCACCTGGAGATGAGAATAACTGTGTATATGCTACTGTTCCAAAATCTTCACATGGGAACCGAGCAAAACGTCCAACACCTCCTGCCAGAAGCAAAAGATCAACACCAATAGGTAAAGACATTTTGTTTCCCGAATCAATTCAGGTGAATCACTTGGACTTGTGATTCCAGTCTAACACAGTCAGGAAGGACCACAGGAGTCAGCCTGTAAGATTAAGCACTTTAGATAAGATGCATTTTATCACATAAGGAGCTGTATTTTTTTTATTCATAGGATGTGGGAACTACTGACAAGGCCAGTATTTATTGTCTATCCTTAACTTCTCTTGAGTTAGGGGACGTAAACAGGTTTATTAAACTACTGCAGTTTACATGGTGTAGGAACATCCACAGACCTGTGAGGGGCAGAGTTCCAGGATTTTGACACACTGACTATAATGGAACAACAAGATAGCTCCAGATCAGGAAGGTGTGTGGTCATGGTCATGGATAATGCCATCAAATGCTTACAACGAAAATACACCCTAGTGAGGAAGAAGGATTCTAGGTAGAGAATAAGCCAAGCATAGTGATGCTGGGAGGATACAATATGGCAAAGGTTACAGGTAAGCCAGAGGGTTGGGAAATTTTTAAAACCCAATGAAAGATAACCAAGAAAAGGGCAAACTTGCAAATAATGTTAAGACAAATGAGATGGTAGTGAATGAAAGGTATATTTTACAAATTCTCAATGTTTTCATTTATGTTCTGTGTTGTGTTATCAGATGAGGAAGACAACCAGGCTCCACCTCTGCCTCCACGTCTTAATTCTTTCAACACACGTCAGCTGTCTGCAACTCTGCCATGTTCACTGAACGAACCTCCTCTGGTCCCTCCTCCAAGGCCTAAACGAAGTAGGTTGGCTCAAAATAAATAAAATTATGTTGTTTCTTAACATGATTGAATTGTGCAACTTGACTGCCCATGTAATAACAGTAACTAAAGCATAAAAGTAATTAATTAAAGCACTGGAAGTGATCTGGAACATATGTAACTTACTTCTGGCCCTTTCTGTTACTTGTTCTCGCTCCACTGTTTCATTCTTGAGTGTGATTAACATTGTTGCTATCCTCTTTGTAAGTTGATGATTAATCTAATAATAAGAGTATAGGGTGAGTTTTAATATTTCAATGTCACTGTATTCTTGTAGCTTTTCCAGCCCCTAAGAACTCTGGTTCTCACCTGAGCAAGAAAGCTAATGTAAACGTGGTCTCTGTTAACCTGGGAAAATTGGTAGATATCAGTAATGGTAAGTATATGACCAGGCTCAATGCTCTTTTACATAGAAATGTAAAGGGATCCAAATGCTCATTGCAGGCCTAATCCTTTGATCTTTTACACTAAGATGGAAAATAGATGTATAACTATTTTTACCCCAATGCTGGTTTTCCATCTTAACCATCCCATAAATAAATCACTTGACATCATTGTTGTTGTGAATCATTAGGTCATAGAAAGAATAGAAGCACCTAACTAGCACCTAAGTACATTTCACAGTAAAACCTTCCATATATAATTACTTACTAATGCAGAGACTGTTGTGGTTAGGTCTGTCTGGCAAATTTGCTTTCATGCATGCCAACAGATCTTTTTAGCTGATGGTCAGCATTTTAACCCATGCTTCAGCTTCTTAATGTTTCACGGGAGAACCTATTTAATTTCACTTGAGTATGCATTGTCAATTTCAAAGAGGTGGGTTGAAAGGTCACATTAAAGGATGTTGTAACGAATCCTGATCAGTTGCTGCAGGTCAGAAGCCAGGCTGAGCAAATCAGTGGATGGAATTGAAGGCTGTTGGAACTGACTGTTAATTCTGATGTGAGTTTGGCACCAACTGAATCAGACTGAACTTGAACTCTTTTTTTCTGCTGTGTTACAGTGCAAAGCCAGGCTGTGAAAGCGATCTACTGCCAAAGGTGTTCAGCAGCTTTGTCCAGCATTAGTCGGATTCACCAGAAATATGCAGATATTGTGAGTTCCACAGCAGTACTATAGTGGTGATTGTTGGGCATAGCTGGGAATCTAGATCCTTTCTAAAAGCATCAGTCCTATAATTCAAAGATCATGATATATAACAGTCCTCACTGCTGTGATTCCTCAGTTAATAGTGTTGGATTACCCATGTTGCATGATTACTGAGGATTGTGAACTTGTAACAGGAAGCCTCATAACTGTTTCAATTGAGAAGGAAGCTAATGCCATTTTAATTTACTCCATGATCATGAACCACCATCAAAAGATAACCAAACAAGATTTTACTTATAGTAATTATTACTTTAACATGAATCAGACTCAGAATTAATTGAACACAAATTAAAAAAGCAATGAGCAGCTATCATGGTGCAGTAGTGTCTCTAATTCTGAGCCAGGAGACGTTTGTTCAAGTCCCACTTTCTCCAAATAAGTGTATTAAGGTCTCTGAACCAGTTGATTATTAAATATCTTAAAAGGCAAATGACATGAGCACTAGCTTCTGCATTCTAAAGTTCTCAAACTCAGCCTCTGATACACAGGAATGATCATTTACCCACCCAATCGATTCAGCCCTTCCATTGTGTTCACTGGTAATTGTATGAGTTCCCTGGATACGGTTGATACTGACAAAGAACACATCTACAAACTTGGTCATGCCAGTCTTGGATGGCATACAACCAACAATACTCAGTTCACAATCTGGTCCTTTTGTACTAACCTTCAGCTTTTTTACATGTCTGAACTACTTAAACCACTTTTAGGATTCAGTCCCATTTAGGTCATTCATAAAATGCTTCTCCAAGAGCTTCTGGAATTCTATTTTTCTGCTTACTGTCAAACTGAAAACGGACATATTCATAGAGGTTTTTTCTGATTTTGCCTCTCACACATTCTGTGTTCCTTCTTCAGTCTTTGTCTTCTGTCACCTTCTGCCTACCTCTAGTTCCCCTTTGTCTCTGGCCAAAAGGTTTCCACAACATAACCTCCTTCTTGTTGGTACTGTATCTGTGTCAAGGATCAACAGTTGACAAGTATTTTCTTATTATCCAAGAAAATCACCATTGATCGCTTTACAACTTGTACTAACTTATAAATGTCCTTCTCAATTCCAAAACAGATATTGCAGGAAAAGCTCAGCAGGTCTGGCAGCATCTGCGGAGACAAATCAGATTTAATGTTTCGGGTCTGAAATGTTAACTCTGTTTTCTCTCCACAGATGCTGCCAGACCTGCTGAGCTTTTCCAGCAATATCTGTTCTTGTTTCTGATTTCCAGCATCCACAGTTTTTTTGGTCCTTTTCAAATAGTTTTGAAACAATTATGGATTTTCCATGAATTTTAAAGAAATTTAAAATTTCCTTTACTATTTCAAATTTAAAGATCATCGCACCTGGCAAAGTACAAAATAAAATAAAATATGTTAAATAGTTGTGATTAAATGGCATGCCCATTTTAATGTTAGTCTGGTTACAGGTTAGACCTGTTATTCTTACTGCAGAATGGGGTCTCCCATACTCTAACTTAATGTTATGAGTTATCAGTAACTGTTTATCCACATTATCTTTCTATTAAATGTCAAATTGTTGGTCTTTTTCTTCCTTATCCAGATATGGCCTTGCGAATTTTGTAATAAACGTAATGTGGTCACTCGATCCTTCAATACGATACCCACCAGTCAAGATGTCATGTATCTCTCAGGGTTTGTCAGTGAAGACTACATAAATGTGGATGACTCCTTGGTTGTTTTCTGCATTGATGTCTCTGGAAGCATGTGTGCAACAAATGAGGTAAGGAAAGCTCCTGGGGTCTCTCAGAGATTCCCAATTATTAAGAAAATTCGTTTGACTCTTGGAAGTAACTTCATCAGCCAGAGCATCATCACATTGCATGGCAATGCCCACTGTCAACCAATGTGTTTAGAATAACAACACTAAACATAGGATTACACGTAACATTTTAGTAATGAAGCTACTCAAAAATTGGGAAAAATCATATTATTGTATTTAGAAGTTAGAATCCCTACAGTGTGGAAACGGGCCATTCAGCCCAACAAGTCCACACTAACTCTCTAAAGAGCACCCCACCCCGACTCATCCCCCCACTATCCCTGCTAACCCACCTAACCTGTATATCCCTGGATACTATGGGTAATTTAGCTCGAACAATCCACCTAACCTGCACATCTTTGGGCTGTGAGAGGAAACTGGAGCACCTGGAGGAAACCCATGTAGACACGAGGAGAATATGCAAACTCGACACAGACAGTTGCTCGAGGCTGGAATTGTATCCGGGTCCCTGGTGCTGTGAGTGCTAACCACTGAGCCACCGTAATTCTAATCCTACAAAATATAGAATATATAATTATGACTATGTTTAGCATGTATATACTATTTCTCTGGCAATGTGAAGTTTGGGCGGAGGCCTCTTTGGGGTGAGGAGCATCTGGTCCAGGCTGGTTTGCATGTGTGTGTTTGTGTGTGTGTGTGTGTGTGTGTGTGGGGTGCATGCGTGTGGGGGTATTTGTGTGTGGTGCATAAGTATGCAGATATGTGTGTGGTGCATGCATGTGGGGGTATGTATGTGTGGTGCGTGTGTGGGGGTATGTGTGTGTGGTGCATGTGTGTGGGGGTATGTGTGTATGGTGCATGTGTGTGGGGGTATGTGTGTGGTGCATGTGTGTGGGGGTATGCGTGTATGGTGCATGTGTGTGGGGGTATGCATGTATGGTGCATGTGTGTGGGGGTATGCATGTATGGTGCATATGTGTGGGGGTATGCGTGTATGGTGCACGTGTGTGTGTGTGTGTGTGTGTGTGTGTGTGTGTGTGTGTGGTGAGAGGAGGGTAGTGGTGGTATTGAGTGGGTGTTACAGTTTCTGTTGCATAGTTCCCCCGGAGTTTATAATATTCTAACTTCTCATAGGTAACTATTAAACTTGACTTAATCAGACCGTCTGAAGTTTCCATCTTTATGAGGCTGTTTCAGGAGATTTCAGATTCAGGATAATTCTCCTACCAGAAGTTTCAATTTCCTGAGCAATTCTTATGGAGCCTGGTGTGCCATGGATTCTGCTGGGTCCCAATAAGTAATTTCCATCAAAGCTGTTCCAACTACTCTCTAGCTGTAGCTATTTGAATATCCTTGCCCTTGACAAGATGTTAAACTAAGGTCCAATCTGACTGCTTTGCTGATTCAGATAGAAGTTAGTCATTTCATGACACTTTTTAAAGGATAGCAAAGAGTTTCCCTTGATGACTGATGAGCATTCCTCCTTGAATCGACATCAATAAAAGCAGATGAAATTGGCACTTGAAGGGTGTGCAGTGACTGTTGGGTTTAGCAAGGTAACTGTCACTGCAGTCCAAAGGTATTTATTGTGTGAAGAGCTCAGAGATAATTTGACAAAATTGATGCCAGTGAAATGCTGAACTGTACAATGCTTGTAATATGTAAAATATTAAGACATTTCTACAGTAGAATACAAAGTGGGAAATATGGACATCGAATAAGAAGAGCAAGCATTATTGTGTTAGTCATATAACAGGTCCATTAAACATATCATGATGTTTATCTTTCAGAATTGTTGTTTTCAGAGGGTATATATTATTATTTCCATATAACTTCTTTAATAGTTTCCAATATAGAGAACTGATTTACTTCAGTGCACTGTGATACTTTGCTTTGGATTCTTGAAATGCAGCATTATGGTCATCATGGGACCATTAAGATGGTTTACACCTAATCCAGAAGCCATTTCTAAACTAACTCCAAGACCCTCTGTTCTGCTTTATAGATTGAGGTTGCTGATGACATTTCCAGAACAGTTCATATATCAAGACTGCAGGTAATTGATTGCTTTGATGTTTCAGAGTGGGCGTGTGGAGACCTGAAGGGTAATGTACTGAATGTTTGGATTTTTGGGATACTAGGTCTCCTGTACCTCCACTGAATATCTTGCCTCAAAACCCTAGTTTGGAAATAGGCACACTAAAGATCCTATATGTGATAAAACTATAGTTTGTTACCTTGTAACATCTTCATCCTTTACAGTTGTTCTCTTATTTCCAATATTATTTGATATCTGTATATAACTAGCAATTATCAGTCACAGTAGCACATCATTGGACAAGCGTCCAGCCTATAAAATAGATTGATGAAACAATAACATTCTCCCTGCTCCCCCTGCCCCACTACACTCCTCACCCACTTTCTCAAAAATATGTTTGTCACAATGACAAAGGAAAGAGACACTGCATGGAGATCTGACTAGGGAAGTAAATCTGAGAAGATGCCATACTTTGCTCCCTTTGTTTTAGTTTTTCATGGAGCCACAGGCTTGGAAATGGAGCTACAATTAGCTATGCAAACCCAGTTGTGGCTGGCTTGTGTGTGCAAATATATCAGTTTAGTTGTAAGTGGGGAGAGAGATGTAACAAGGGAGAATAAATAACAAACTAAAGGAAAAGGAAATGCAATTTAGAAAACTAATCACTTCTTTCAGTCGAGCGAGATACATATGTTTTACATTCAATCTTATATAAACCTCTGAAATAGGCTTTAAATATTATCAATTATTTAAAAACCAGTTTGTTGTTAAGCTGAGTGCTTATTTTCCATTCTTCATGTTTCTTACTTGAATTAACAAGTTCCTAAAAATGTTTACTAAGCTCTCTGTTTGATTCATCACCTCGTTTCAAGGTGGTCTCACTTGGAAGACCCTTTTGTTTTTAAGAGTTTCACCATCAGTGACATGTTATAAAAATATATATCTTTTCAATGAGTAATTTTGCATAGCATCTCTTTAAACATGACCATTATTATTACTACCTTTTAAAAAGTGTTTTCATTGATATCTCTCTGAAGGAGGAGCACTGGATTAGGAACAATTTTGTGTGTTGAATCTCTGAATTTCTACTGTAGTTGGTAAACCTTATCTAAATACACTTGTACCTGGAGTGGTCTTGTATCTGTTGGGTGCTGAGTGTTACACTTAAAGTGAAATTTTCACTGGAAAGAGGTTAGAAGAAGTGCCACAGGAAAATCACTCAAGAAAATGCTGGTGTGAGTCACCCATTTCGTAATCAAGATCAAAATAAGAGAGAATGGTCCTGAGAAATCGTTGAGGGGTAGGCCCAAACCTATGACCTCCAGGTGGACATTCCTGCTCCCATTCAGCTGGCCTGTTAATACAGCCTCCTGCTGATCCCAATCCCAGGATAGGACAACTCTGTGTAGTGATTGTAATGAGGTTAGCCAGCTGGACATCATAGAATATCAGTTCCCTGATGGGGACTGTTAATCTGGTCCAATCAGGGAGCCCTGGTGATAGAATATTAACATCTATGGAGTTATTTCACTCTGAACCTTTGGAAATACCTCCGTGGTCATAGCTAAATCTTTGCATGGGCAGAATTTCCAGCCCAAATTAGGGCCTCTCAGAAAGTGAAAGGAACATTCTGGACTTTATTTTATCTGGGTTCAGACCTCTTTCCTGTGTCTTTTGCTGTAGCCATAGCAACTTACAGAAGGGAAAAACTGAAAGCAACAGAGAAACATTGAACAAAACTGAAATGCGCATCAAAAAATCGGAGTTAATGTTTTGGGTCCAGTGACCCTTTGGAGCCAAAACATTAACTCTGACTTTTTCTTCACAGATGCTGCCAGACTTGCTGAGCTTTTTCAGCAACTTCTGTTTTTGTTCCTGATTTACAGCATCCCCAGTTCTTTCTGTTTTTATTCTAGAGAAACATTGAAACTGCTTTCTCACCATCAGGTACTATCTGAAAGAAATGTTGCTGAAAGTGAAACACAAAGCAGGGGCTAAATGCAAGTTTCATTGCATTAATTGGCATATTTAGAAATAATATTGTGTTGGATGAACAGGTACTTAAAAATTGTTTCTGATAATTGAAAACCACAGTGCTTGAGGCTGGGTAAAAGAATTATTTTTGTTGTAGGACAGCTAGGGGATCTCAGATACTTCTTAAAAACTACACTGTCATCTCAATCACAGAAATTGAACTGGAAGTTTTCTGGGTTTTGGTTTCAATCAAAAAAGACTTTCCAGATAGCTGTGCCAACTGTTACATATTGTGCTGTGATATCGAAAGATGCTGAATTCAAGCCCAGTTCCCTACTGCATCGTCTGATGTCCATCAGTTGGCAGGGCAAGTGATGAATCAGTTAGAGTATCTGCTGGTTCTAAGTGTGTGAGTGGATTTTGGTTAGTGATCCAGTAACAGAAGAAAGCTCACTAGTAACTCCATCCATTATCAAACCCCATTGGCCCTGTACTCATTGTCCAAACTTGTATCTTACAAACATTTTGCTGACAGCACTGGGCAGAATTTAATCCAGGAAATGGAGTTTTCACCTGCCGGTGGAGACTGGCAAGAGCAGCATGTTGTCTCCGTTGGGAAATTCCTGTCTGTATTCAGGCAGGAAATCCCACCCACCGCAGAGAGTTCCTGGTCAATCAGAGGCCAGAAAAACTCAATGGCAGAGAGTGTCACCAGGACTGGATACAACTGCAGGCAATGCACTCACAAGAGGCCCTGAACTGCCAATGAACCCAAGGCCAAAGTTAAAAGAGGGCCCAATGGATGGCAGGAGATGAGGGAGGGAAGGATTGGAGGAAGGCGTGCAGGTGGTTCTCAGCACACCACTGCCACTATCCCTCTGGTACAACATGCCATGTCCCTCAATCAGGAACTGAGTGCCTTTGAATGAGCAGCTGCTCCCAAAAGCTCACAAGCAAACCCAACAACAGTTAGTTTGTTAGGCTGCCCTGGAAGTGTTTACCCAATCTGGTGCTAGTTGAATTCACACGGTGATGGGACCTTAATTGGCCAGAGGTGGTAAGGAGCAGGTCTTCACATGCTACCCTCCCCCCACCCCATCAAATAAAATGCCCCCCTCACCTTCAAACCCACGTCAGGAAGATGTTAAATGCATTATAATTAAACTGTTCCCAACAGGAAAGTTTTCAGGAGAACTGGAGAACAACTAGAATACGAAGTGGAATAATCTTTGGATCTTTAAAACTTGTTTCATTCTCTCATTGACACCCTTTACATATATTCTACAGGCTGTTTAGTGATCCATGACTGTCTAGTCAGAGACATTTCCTTTACACAGTCAAGACAAAGTAATGATGATGATAAAGATTCACCATCAAGAGTGTTCACATCCAAGTCCAGATTTCAGTTGGGTCTTTGTGTAGAAGTCAGGTAGGGGAGGATAAAGCAATGGGAGATCTAGGCACCTTCTTTCTCAAAATCCATACGAAAATAACAATAAAAAACAAGATCTGACCACCTTCTTCCTTGTTAGTAGCATGTTTCAGTTCTCTTTTCAACTAGTGTTTACATGTGGATGCCACAGTAATGAGTATTCAACTCAGCAAGTCCATGAGGTTAATGTTAGTTTTGCATATTGGTATATAACAGGCAATATTAAAGTACCCATCCGAATTACATCATACTCAATTCACTTTTCTATTAAAGTCAGTAAAAAAGGAAATCAAGAGAGTTAGAGAATGAACAGTAGCTGTTTCATTTTTTCAGTAAATTAAACTTATCCGTAATGCTTTTGAAAACCACACAAACATAAATCTGTCCAATTACTTCATACCCTGAATATGAGTACCTTCTCTAATCCTTAATGTAAATCAGAAACATTGATCGCCATCCTGATTACTTTACTATTCAAACCTGTTCAGCCCACTATAAACGACATTCATTTACAGCATCACTAGGACTAGCATGTTATGTCTCATGGTCAGTATATTAGTATTCCTTTAAGAGACATGCTGACATCATCACTGTATCATAGCATGTGACCTGAGGATACAAAAGTCATACCCCCACCTTACCCCAGATCACTTGAAGCATGACATGTTACTGGAAGCATGTTGCTCACTTGTTATCTAATAGCTTAATGTTAGCCCAGACACAGAAGTCGGCTATTATAATATTTGCACGTAACAGCCAATTGTAAAAATAGTCTGTTGGACTCTTCAATACCACAATATCCATGTTAAGTTTCTCATGTGTCGGAGATAACATAAGGATCATTGCATTATGTAAAATACCCTGCTGGATGAAAAAAATTGCATCATTGTTAGCAGCAGTGGCTGTTTATTAGAAATGTTCCAATATCTTGGTGATAGAAAATATCTTGGAAAACTAATTGAAGACCAACCAGAGAACAGCTTTACACATGAATAAATTTGGACAATCAGCAGCCTCATTTTCTGTGAATACAGAAAGCTATACAAATCCGTAGATCAGACATTGACCAGTAAGAAGGGACAGCTAAGTACATTTTGATTGCAATAAGTTCTTTCAAGATAATATACCTTTCTAAGGCAGTCCTTTTATTTTTAAATAAGGAAAAAATTACAAATAATAGCAAAACTAAAAGCTATGGACCTGTAACTGAATCTCTGTCTCTCTCCATGTGTTTAAAAAAAATCTAAGATGCTGCTCGTACAATTTTTTTTAAAAAGGCAGTTTTAATAGGGTTGAAAGCACAGCTGATTAAAATATCTTATCTATGTCCAGACCTCAGATACTTCCAGCACCTTCTTTCTCTAAATTGGCGCAGGCCAACAATAAGTACATGCTTTAGATTCAGCCAACACCATTGTAATACAGCAAAGTGTACCAAGCCAACAGAATCTGTAAGTGAAGCTGTCTATTGCACCTATCCAATCTGTAAAGCATGTGACACCAAAGGATATTTGGTATACTGTGCAGGAAATGTGGTTGCAAAGGTCAAGCCAGACCTTAGAATAAAATATAGGTCAGTACAGTGCCACAACACTAGCAGTAAGAAAAGTGTTAAGAAGGTGCACAACCAGTTACACATTGAAGTTCAGAGTCAACTAAGTGAGAAATAAATTGCAGAAGATTTGATCATTTTGACCATTGAGAGGTGACCTCAGTATATCATGCCATTTTGAAACGTAAACAAGTCCTAATACTGAAAGCATTCTGCTGAGGTATTATGTCCATGTCACATTTGAGATACATGGGTATTGACACACGAGATGCCCAGCATTCTATACTAGCCATCAGAATATCTAATGACTCATGAATGCATGTGAGGCAAGCTAACTGTATCAATTCCAGCACCAGAGGGGGCTTATACGTCCACACAATGTTCAATCCGTTCCTTGGAAGAAAGTAGCTACAGATTTTTCACAATGCACAGGGAAGATTACACTCCTATAATGGAATAGCTTGCTAAATTTCCCATTGTTCAAAAACTTAGCAACCCAATGAGTGTGACCATCACTAACTCCATATTTTCAGTTTATTGAGTAACCCAGGGTGAGTAGTGTCTGACAATGGACTGCAGTTCACTGGTAAACCCCTTTTAAGATGTGTGTTCTGAGTGGAGAGTGTATCATATCATGTTGTTGCCCCATTTTCCACACTCAAATAGCCAGCAGGATGTGTGCTACGTTCCATCAAATCAATGATCTTTAAGTGTCAAGCAGCAAAGCAAGATGTTCACATTATATTCCTGCACTTTTGTGCAAGACATGTGGAAAAGGAATTACCAGACACTGTATAACTTACGCTTGGAAGACAAATGCAAGCAACCATGTCAGTAATCAATTGTCTAACCTTTATAAGACACAGGACATTTTTCTTCAAAGATTAAAAATGATACATGATGAGTGAGGAGGTAGTGAATTACTGGTTCAGTGTGAAGAAGGGAATGGTGGATGTGTCCAGTGGCATGGCATGGTCAGGTCTGGTCCAGTCCAGTCCAACAGACAGGTCAAAGGTGGTTGAGTCCAATGGTGGTGGCAAGGGGGTTTCAGGGTTGAGTGTGAGGGAGGTACGATACACAGGAAGATATCAGGTCCTGGGGATTTTCAGGTGTCTGGGAGCATAAGAGGTCTAGGGGTGGTATAGTTGTGGGTTTATAAGATACATATGGGGTTAATAGATTAGTTACTCAAGAGTTAGACATTGTGTTTAAAGTCTAACTTTTCCTGGGTAGCTGTTTTCTTTAATTTTATTGGAACCCTTCAAAATCTCCAATTTAAAGGGAGACTTTCAGAGGGTCCAGATATGGGGGAATTACCCAGTAAAAAATTCAATTTCTTGAGCAATTCCTTTGGGATCTGCTACAGTTGGGATTCCAACAATCTCCATGTGTAACTCCCATCTACACTCAAGTAACCACTGTTTGATTAGCAGAAACTTGGGCACAAAGTTTGTACATAATGGCCAGTTGTAATAAATGTCTGTTGGATTCTTCAATTCCATGTTATCCACATCTAGATTCTTTTGTTACAGGAGATAAAATAAACATTGCTCCATCATGTAAAATATCCTGTCGAAGGCAAAATCACATCAGCACCTCTATATACCTTGAACTATACATTCAGTTCGGTACCTACTTGTATTGTGTTTGTGTTTTTATGTGATAAGTGATGTTTAGAAATTTAGTGACGTTGTCATGCAATGATGTAATCAATTTTGAAATTAATGTCTTTCATCAATGTAGAGATGGTGAGTGTTTTGTTACAACAAAAAAGAATTTGGGGTAGAATTCATCCTGCAACATGGAATAAACCTAATGGAAAACTCTCCCTGGGACATTGTGATGGTCATGAATTCTCATTGTGGCTTCACTTTAATAGTACAGAACGTATAGTTGGACATGGTCTAATATAGAGTCTGTCATGCTTCATCAGTTAAACTAACTACAATTGTCTTTTCTACAGAGTGTTCAAGAAGCCATCTTGAAATCTTTGAGTCTCATGACTCAGACCTGTCCTCAAAAGCGAGTCGCCTTGGTTACATTTAATGATGAGGTATAGTGCTATTTAGGAAATATTGTAGATGATACATTGGGTAGATAAACTGATATGTGGAAATATTAGATTGATGGCTTGTATACTTGATAGTCTAGCTTTTGGGTGAGGGGCTATACCATTTTAAGAGTTTGATAATCTATTTCTTGCCCCCAGTCCTTAGCAATTGTTGTTCTTGTTAACAGTTCTTCCTAGACATCAATGATACAATTAAGGGTTACATAGAAATTGTACAATACATATCAGTTCTGATCTACTTTCCAAGTATTTTAGAAAGAGATATGCAATATGTTGAAAATTGAGGCTGCAATTTGAATAAAAAACTGACAATTTCATGCCCAATCTTTTGGCCTGCGAGATATCAATAATTTCATTCTAATGTTTAAAATTAATAGGGCGACAAAAAATCCCGTAATTGAGGCAGTTGTCCTACATCCCAAACTGATGATTGCTGTGATGCCCTTTAATGTTCTAATTGGTCTCCATGTATCCAATGATCCAGCTTAATTGTTAAAGCCTCCTCGAGAGCCTAAAGTAAGAAGTCAATTGGCAGAAACCCCCAGTGGTGATTGATTCGTTCTGGGTGCACGGACAATTTACACTGGGTTCAAACAATTCAGCAAAAACCTTGTTTCTTACTGGGACTATATCCCTTCCTCTCTCCAGGTAACAGTCTATGGGGATGGTCTCAGTGAGCCTACAAGACTGCGTGATTATCAGCTATTGGATTCTGACTATCTAAAGGAGAGAGGGAGAGAGTTTCCTGCCCCACGATGCATTGCAGAAAGCCTATATGCACTAAATTACAGGGTCCATGAGTAAGTAATGAATGTTAAACAATTGTTTCATAAAACATATTGCTGTTTTAATAGAGTTGGCTTGGGCAAAATAAATGGCACACATCCTGCCACACATGGATACACTGAAATACTTTCCTATAACCAGAACTGAATATGAAGTATAGGGGTCACGATTCACATCCACAGGTAGCACATTACCTAAATTATTTTCAAGAAAATGCAAGCAAGGAAAGAATATGTAGAATGCTTCATCATTCACCTTTCTCAGGACTCAGCCTCGGGCCTCTTCATTCCTTTCCTTATTTCAAAATCAGGCAGATTGGCAGCACTAGAGCTCACTCATTACTAAGAATTAGAAAAAGTACAAAAAGATTTTGTTCACACAAAGGCTGATTAGTATCTGGAATAATTTATCAGACTGACTTGTACAGGTGCAAATGTTAAGAACATTCATTTACAGCTGAGTACTAGGCTAACAGTATTTAAATACTACAGCTAGAACTTTGGTCAGTCAAACAGTCTGTTCTTGCTCTTAGAGCCTACTAACCTCATCCCTTTCATGTTACTTTGTTTTGTTTGATCTCAACCAATTGCTGTCCTTTATTCAAGTGACTTATCATCCTGGGATCCAGCTCCATGAACAGACTGCCAATATTGTAAGCATCTGTAGGCCAGTTGATGATCTGAGAAGCCCATACAATGTTTCTCTTTTCCTTATGACCAAATTTAGAGAGTTACACAGACTCCTTTCTAGTCCCAGTCCTTCAGTGTTCACAACAAATTTTAAGTTTAACCAGGGTATTTACACAGCTAATTATATAGGTTTTAGACTGTATCGGGTTTAGTACTAAGAAGAAATCAGCCAGGTTTCTTCAGTCAACAAAGAAGAAACGTTTATTACAAATAAAACTTGCTGAAAGAAACGTACAAGTATTATTGACAAAAAATGGTTTAGACTTAGCAAAGATCGATATGACTTATATTCTAACATCCAAGCTTAACATGAGGCAAAAATGGTTAACATATGGTTGAACAGCCCATAGAATACATCAAATCACACATTAAGACCAATCCTACTGATTTCTCAGCATTTATCGCCAGACATTAGCGAACTGTGGGTCACTATATCTGGTTTAAAATTCATAAGCGATTACAATGGTTCACTTTTGACAACCTGGTCTTGAACCTCCCTCAAACACCACTCCATCATAGGATGCCTCACTAACTGCTCGAGTTCTAGTGATGAACTTTCCTTTTCTCAGATTGTGCTCCCCTGGATTTGTGGAAACTACACTTCAGTACTTATTCATCGACACAATCTCCAGTTTTTCACAGTAAGCTGCACCCAGCCAGTACTTCCCCGAGATTTGTTTCCTGTGATCTACTCTGGCTCAACTGCACAAAGCAGATACTGCTTATAGGTTTCCTTCACCTTTGCTCACAGATTCACTGAACTATTACTGGCTCGTGGCTTTTTCTAAGCCTCCCCAGGATTTTCTGGAGTCTTGACACAAACACTCAGCAACCCATTAACTCCTAGGACTTCAAATGATTTCTGACAAGACGGGGCTATCCATCTACTCTTAACTTCTCACAGACAGCATGACTCCATGTAGTTCAGTTGCCTTTTCAGCAGTCCAGCTAAACAGATCTTTTCCGAATGTAGCTTGCTACGGGCTGTAAATTCAATTAACTGTCACCCAGGACTACTCTTCAGTGAGCACTGAAGTGTTTTGAGTGATCTATTGAAAACCTTACAATAAGCCACATCCTTGTTCCTAGGCAAAACTAAATGTATCTAATCTTTTGGAACCATCAATATATCTATCAGCAGTAGGACTCAAATACAGCAACTCCTTAGAATTGTCTGTTCTTGAACATTGCAGTGTTTACTAAGAGCATTCTCCAACAGCTCAAAACTGCACACAAAAGAAAAAGAATCATCACTGTTGCCTTCAATTAATGTGCACACAGTGTCCAACAGTGGTCTCTTGGGTGAACAGCAACATACAAACTCCTTTTGGTCTGCCTAGATAAATCACGTTTCAGCACTTGCACCAAATTAAATTTAGATAATTCAGCACAGTCCAGGACAGAATTGTGCTTCACCTTGATACCCTTTTCTTGACAGAATGCGAGAGCAAGGAGCAACCGCGCTAGGACCAGCTGCGTTGATATCAGTATCGATAGCATCAAAGAAACCTGGGTCAAAGGTGAGTGACGTAACATTTTAGAATTAAAGTAAGTGTGGATCAGAAGCGGGGCTGAGGCAAAGAGCTGGGAAATGGGATTCGTTTTTGCAAGGAGTTAGCGCGAATACTCTGACCTGAACTCCTGAGTTGGAAAAGGTGAGTCAGAACAATTCCACTCTCCACAGACCTGACCTTTAAAAGGAGCTGTGGATACTGGTTCTGTGGGTGGAGGTGTGGGTGCAAGTTTTTACTCTGCTCCTGAAGAGATGTTCAAAGGACTGCTGCATGTGGAGGAAGGCAATGCGAAGGGCCTGCCTCATTGCTCTGACAGTTCATCGCAGCATGCAAGAACAAAGAGAACAAAATCAGCCCTCATCTACCTCACCTACTCCCCATGCTAACTCATGTCCCAGCCCCCATCCACTTTCTGGGGCCCCTCATACATTTCATACCAACTCATGTTCCTCTGTGTACCCTTCATCCATGCCAGCCAATGCCCCTATAACCACCCCCCATGACTCCTGATTCGCACCATGCCTACCTAGACCCCTCCAACACAGATAGCACACAATACATTACCTCCAACTCTGTAGCCTATTAAATGCCAACTTAATGCCAACTCACGCTCCCACGCACTACTTTTGCCCTTACATCTTTCAAAACAATTCTTTGAGTATCCAGCATTGCAGATTTCAGGACACCTAATGAGATTAAATAAAGTTATCAAGTGTCTACATTGTTCCAAATAAATTCTCTCATTGATTTAAAAAAAATCATTCACTACATTTACCTTCCTTTAATCATTTTTAAAAATAAGCATTAGTAATTGTAGGGCCTCGTCAGATATGTCATAAGCACTAGAAGCTACCAGTCAAGCTACAAACCTAAAGTTATCCCACAGCAATTATGACAAATTAAAATTTGATACCTCCTAATCCCACTCCAATCCAGATAATCTCAGAGTACAACTCTACTGTTTGTGATGGCAGAAAAGATGCCCACTGGATTTAATTGGAAACTTGAGCAAAATTGGAGATCTTGGACACCAACAAGACTCCAGTAAAACCTTGACAGGATCCTTCTTACCTGGAAGACAGTGGAATATTTGCCCCAGGAAGAAGATGACTTTTTTCCACTCTCACTGACATTCATAAAACTGGTCACATTAATTTAATCAATGAATGTTCTAGTTTAAGCATTGTTACACAGCAATGTATCATGGACTCATTCTTGTGTAATTCCTCTGCATTCTGACTTCTTGACACCACTCTTACAATTGAAGGAAGTACAAATCAAAATCTAATGCTCTCCAATGCAGTGTACCCTCCCCCCCAACCCAAACAACCTGTTCAAATGTGGTAAAAGCAGCATAAGAGTGACAATGGAGTGGAAAGTATGTAGAGGCAACCAACAAATAAGTCTATTTAAAAATAAGTTTTTCACTTTCTATCGTTAAGATACTACAGTTCCATGGGTGCTGAGTACTCACTGGTACTTTGCCCAAATGAACATATTTTGTTGTTTGAAGGTTGGCAGATTATTCAGTAGTGTGTGTTTACTTCAATCATGTCCTCACTCAACATTATGCATCAATGGCTTTCCAGCTAGAATTGTTGGTTACCAATGTACAGCAGGAAAAACAGAGACAATTACCATTTCTGAAGTAGGGTCCCAACCCAAAACGTCAGCTTTCCTACTCCTCTGATGCTGCCTGACCTGCTGAGTTCCTCCAGCTCCACACTGTGTTATCTCTGATTCCAGCATCGGCAGTTTTTACTATCTCTGTGACAATTACAATGACTTGGTTGCAGTGTGAAATTTGCCATCTCAGCATATTGTACAAGGCAGTTAGGTCCTGAAAGAATGAACTGATTTCACAAAATAAACTCTGCACACCAGGATATAAGGTTAAAACAATGAACTGTGGATGCTGAAAATCTGAAACAAGAACAGAAATTGCTGGAAAATCTCAACAAGTCTGGCAGCAGCTACAGAAAGGATGCAGAGTTCACGTTTTGAGTCCAGTGCCCCTTCTTCAGAACTGATAGTAGCTAGAAAAAGATGGTATTTATGCTGATGTCAGGGAGTTGGGAGTTGGGGAGGAGTGAGTGGGATAGGTGGAGATGGAGCCCAGAGAGAGAAAGAAAGTTGGGCAGACAAGGGGATGGTTGATGGTAAGCCAGGGAAGAAGAAATGCTGATAATGAGGACCATAAGTAGGTGATAATGGGTTGGCTTTGCTGAAAGCTGCCAATGTCATGATAGGCATTGGGTGTGGGAATAGAAACGTTTGTTCCTGGAGGTGCTAACCAGTCCTCCAAGTATCCTAATTGGTTCCCGAGTTGTTGCTTTAGGTGGTAACATCATGGAGCTAAAGTAGTAATGTCTACTTACTCTTAAATTGAGCCTGATGTGTCTCAAGAGACAATCAGGTATCTCAGATGCAAAAATACTAGCTATCTCATGTATCTCAGTGTAACTAGTTAATATGGAAGAGACTAATTTACTGTTTCAGAAGATTGAGCTTATCTTCTGCCTAGATTGTTATGTGGTCATCCTTTCCCACATGGTTTCTAAAGGCTAGACTACTTCTAATAAGAAGGGTTGATGTCGTCAAATCTACTAAAGGTATGCCAGATAGTTCTAGATCATATCTGACATTAAAGACAACACAGATCTGGAATTAAATTGTGGGGTCCTTTGGCCTCACTACAAAATTCACAGTGCTTTATTCATCAAGTTATCATGGTAGTAAGAAATGAAGAAGAGCTAAGCCTCCTCATTCACATCAAACTGCTACACCATGTTTATTAACCTGCCATCAAGTGTGATTGCGAGCAGTTATGGGGATATTGGAGACAGTGATCTGTACTGTGTCTCCAATAGAAAGGTAGGTTCTCAACTAACGTGTTGCACTTGTAAGGACATTTCAATAACCACAGTGAATTCTGTTTCACTTAGGTAATCATCTGCACAGATGGGAGGGCAAACACAGGCCTCGGATACCTGGAGAGTGTGGAGGAAGACATCTACGAGTGTTCCAGACAGTTTTACACTGATGTAGGAGAGCAAGCCACTTTAAGCGGGTAAGCAGTCTTCTTTTACATTCCACAATTTCTAAATATTGTTAAACATTTTAATTTAAAATGGGGGAAAGCACAATTTATATAGTCTTCATGTTGAAGAAATACTTTAAAACATTTTATATGCAAATGAATAACCTTTGCGAAATAACTTATTTTGTATGTAAATGTAATAGTAATTCTGTGCTTTACATGCCTCATATGCAACCAAAAGATAATTAGCATAAACAGAAATTGCTGGAGAAACTCAGCAGGTTTGGCAGCATCCCTGGAGATGTTTCGAGTCCGTTATGACTTTCTTTTGCAACAAATGCTGCCAGACCTGATGAGTTTCTCCAGCATTTTTTTTGTTTCAGATTTTCAACATCTGCAATATTTTGCCTTCTTAAAGAATAATTGGCATTCATTTCGGGTTGTATAAAAGGCATGTAATTATGGATCAGCTGGTCCATGTTCTATCTAAGCTCCCAGTTTGGATGAAGCTAGCTACCAAAAGTCTACCTAGGCTTGAATATTCCCATATCTCTCCATTAGCAAGTATTGAGCTGTACTCCATGGTATGTGTCCTCCATACTTTGAGGGATTGCTGCTGATGATGATGATGATGGTGATTTCCATATCTGGGAATATTTTTCTCTCACCATCAAAACAGCTTGTTGTCTAATCCTTACCTTCAGTTTCCTCCAGCTTTCAGCTGAATTCAAACACTTCTGCAATTTGGTCTGAACCTTTGTTTTTATTCTTTCAGTGTTCTTAAACAAAACCGTTCCACAGATTCCTCCTTCTACCTGTACTCATACTACATTGAAGTAATTGTAGTATTCATTTACATTCATTCAAAGGTTTCAAACCTGTGGAGTTCCTGATCTACATACACATTTTCCTCCTCCCAGAATATTTATGTTTTCAAAACCTAGTCTTGCAGTTACGTAACCACTATATCCTGCTTTGATTTAGTTTCTCTCCTGCTTCCTTCTGATTGCAATATGTTACTAATAATACTCCAATTCCAGGTATAAATGTATACATTTATTGAATATGAAGCAAACTGAGGTCCCATCTATAATCAAGTAAAATTCTTAGTTGTAAAGATGTGGTAGCAGAGTGATAAGACACAGAATTGTTCTGTTCTGCAGTGCCACATTTTTTTGTTTTTGCTGCAGGGTGATTGTATCGGTTCTGACAATAGAAGGCACGGACTGTCGACTGGCAGAACTCGGCAAACTGGCAGATCAGACAGGAGGAAGGGTAAGATCACAGAGAAAGGGGGGGGGAAGTCATAATATTGTCAATTACTTCACTTTAAAATGGAGAATGAGTTCCAAAAGCTAATTAAACAACTCATTCAAGAATTTCTTGACAGCAGTGAAAAATGTCAACTGGTTAATGATTTTTAGACATTCGTTTCAGGCAAATATATCCTCAGCATTTTAAACTTTAGCATTGGTTCAGCGAGGAAGTGCACAATGTGATTATTGTACATCATTGAATCATAAACTAGAAAATGTCAGGTTCATTTCCTCGCTTATGTTGAATTAACTGATTTCAATTGCAACAGTAATTGGGATACTGCACAATTCCTTATCAAAGGAAGGAGAAATGTTTAACCAGGTTTCCTCCTCCAGAAAGCTTTTTCCTATTTACTCATGGGATGTGAGCATCAATGGCTGGTGCCAGTATTTATTGTCCATCCCAACTTTCTCCTGGAGATAGTGGTGACGAACTGCCTCTTGAACACTGCAGTTCTTAGGTACAGGAACACCCTTAGGTACAGGTACAGTGCTCTTACAGAGGGAGTCCCATGATTTTGATGCATCAACAGAGAATGGAACAGGAATATAGTTCCAAGTCAGGATGGTGTGTCATTTGGAAAAAGAACTGGTAGTCTGGTAGGTTGGTTGTTCCTAAGCATCTGCTGCCTTTGTCTTTCTAGGTGTTAGTGGTCATGGGTTTGGAAGGTGCTGTCGGGTTACTGCAGTGCATCTTGTGGATGGTGCGCACTGCTGCCATTGTGTATCACTGGTGAAGGGAGTGAATGCTGAAGGTGGTAGGTGTGATGCCAATCAAGTGAACTGTTTTGTCCTTGATGGTGTCAAGCTTCTTGAATACTGTTGGAGCTGCACTCATCCAGACAAGTGGAGGATATTCCATCACACCCTTGACTTGTGTCACTGTAGACAGTGGACAGGACCTGTAAGATGCTACATATCCAGAGTTATGGAGACAACCTATAGCACCTCTTAGCTGACACTCTTCTTTCTCACAGTGTTGTGAGGGAAGTGCTTCACTTTATGCACCAGATAGAAATATACAACATTTCTGGTGATGGGAAGCTTGTACCATGTCGGTGAATCATTCAATTCATGACTCATTCTGATATTTTTGGATATAGCAAGAAAGAGGACTTTGTTCCAATATGTTAATACTGCAATTACCTGACATCTTTCATTCGATTGTTCGCAACTAGTACCTCTCTTCTGATGTTCATGGACGGACAGAGCATGGAGCTGCTTGATAAGCTGCCATTATAACCTCTTCTTTATTCATTCTGGAGGGCTGGTTAAAAGGTAGCTACAAATTCTTAAGTTACTTCAGTCAGAAGTGAAAAATTTTGTACTACCAGGTTGGAGGAGTTGGTTTTACTCAGTGCAAGAACCACATAGACATGAACATGTAGACATGAAACCTGACTAACCAGTCATCAGCAGTTCAGTCAGCTGCATGGGAGGACCTACTATTAAAGCTCACAATCTTTAGGCGAATGGTCCCATTGGAGATCAGATAAGGACAAGAAAAGCTAGAAAAGCCCAGTAGGTCCACCTGCTTCTCTGGAAAGAAACAGAGTTAACATTTAGGGTCAATTACCTTTCAGATTTCCAGCATCCACAGTATTTTACTTTTGTACAGGTGGAGACAGGTTCTGATGACTGCAGGCTGGAAAAATTCCCAAAGAGTGATGTTAATTTGGGATCCTAGCATCATCTCAACCTCTTCCCTTTGCAGGTTCCTTGTCCAAGGGGAACACCCATAGGTCTGGTGGGAGGTGATTAAAAACCATTTGAACAATTAATTCCTTATTTTCCCAACAGTGCACAGCTTCTGTACTGTGTCTGCACCTCACCAGCGTCACTGAGGCAAGTATACAGTGGTAAGATCTGAAATGGTCAGGCAGATGAGACTCCAGCTATGAATATCGAAAGATCATTGTTCAAGGACTTCTCTCAGAGAGTGCCACTTCTGCTTGACAGATAATTGCTAACTTCTTAGATGGTACTTCATCTGCCAGGCACTCCACTCACCTTCAGCTATACTTTCCTGTTGCCAGCCTTGTGAACAGTTTTTCCAGCTCTGTCTACTGAGGGCCAACAGTGGAAGATGCACCATCGTCAGCAGCTCCAGAGGCAATACGAATGGCTCAGCCTCGTGCCCCAGCAAGAAGAGGGCAAGAGCCTGGAGACAGAGCATTGTGTGGAGAATGAGATATGTTGTCCTGAGGCAATCAGTGCAGTAGAATGCAGGCTAATTCAGAGCCTGGGGCTTGGCATCTGAAAGTACTTATGCCAATCACTCTTGCTGTCCTCCCACAGTTCAGGATCTTCAACCCAAAAACTGTCCAGCTTTCAGCAGAGACTAATGAAGGAAATTCTACTCTTTGTTGGATGTTGTGGAGTGAAGTGGCCATTTGATGATTTTGGAAAAAGCTAATGGCTCAACATTATGTTTGTTAATTCTAAATGTGTAGATGACATGAATTTTATCCATAAATGTAAAGGAATATCTATCCGTCAATTTAACTTATACCTTATACTAACCCATCTCCAGGAGATGTGATCCCAGTAATATTAGCCATTGAAGATCCTAGTACTGAACAGCCCTGTATGTTGGTCAATCTTAATCACATTGAAGAGGTGGTTATTAGATAATTTCAGTTTTGCCAGCATCTGTTTAGAGATGTTCAATCTTCATGGGCATGCATACACCCATCAAACTTAACTGTTTCCTCCAATGAACAGACAAATATGGCTTCCCAAATTCTGCCATGTTGTGTTCCATTGTCTTTACTGGCCCTGAACTACACAATGAAAATGGTCAATCAATTTTTCTGGCTACACAAGAGTTCCAACTGATTCCTGTACTCCTCATGGCAGTGCTAGGAGACTCTTCTATCTTGCATCAGACATCCTCCATCATTGCACTCCAAGATCTTGGATCATTTCCACAACACTTGGTTTGTGAAGTCAGGCTTTGCCAAAGTGTCTGCATTGTGCCCTTTTCCCTCAGAATTCAGTGAAGTATGAACATGAAAGAATTAATCAAACCTTAACTCAATTCTCCTAAATTATGTTGTTACAGTAAGATTTGATACCCTGCCTGTTGCAGGTTTTTTAAGGAGCACACACCATTGATTTTAAGGTTTTAAAATATTCAGTGAAGTGCACTAGGCTGCAGTTCTCACTCCTCTTTGCTTTTTTTCCTTCTTCCTGTGTTACATTGTTATCTGATTTCATTTCTCATTTCAGGTCAATATTGTTGATCCAACTAATTTACCAAAAGAGATTCAGGCCACTCTGGAGGATGACGTAATTGCAACCAATGCCACTGTTACCTTTGTGGTCCCTGAACAGATGTGAGTGAAACCTTCTGAGGCATTATTGTACGGAGATAACAAATCAGCACCCTAGAATAGACAATTCCCCATAATTCACTGAAAGTCATAGATATACAATGACTGAGGTATACAATGCTTTTAATTCAGCAATCTATTGCATGGCATTTCACAGAAGGGAGGGCAGAAAACCAAATAAAAATGAGCAAGAGTTAAGGGATGTGAAGCTGCAGTAGATGACAGAGATTTTGAAAAGACTTTTAATAATGGAAAGAGCTATAGTAAAGCAGGCAAAGGACAGAGATTTAACAAAGAATCTGGGTGCATAATGGTTGAAGGCTCTATCATTTGGTGCAGCGAGCCACAAATAGAATCAGATTTCCAGGACAACAAGGTGTAGAGCTGGATGAACACAGCAGGCCAAGCAGCATCATAGGAGCAGGAGGGCTGACATTTTGGGCCTAGACCCTTCATCATTTTCTGATGAAGGGTCTAGGC